CGGTGCGAAAAGTGACCAACAAGTAAATATTTGTCGTTTTGCCGTACGTTGTGATCGGATGTGGCCTAGCAGTCAATGACACAAGGTTTATACTGGTTCAGGCAACGTGCCCTATGTCCTGCTTGAGTCGGTTGGTGACTTTATTCCTGAGGCCAGGTGCTCGAAGTTTGTTGTGGGGTTACAAACGGGTGGGAGTAAGATGGGGGGTGTTAGAGGTCTGGTCGGACTCCGGACCGAAGGGCCGAGAGTGATGGGAGCTCCTACGTGAGCTAAGTATTGGAGCGTATGCTCTGAGTAGCTTTAGAAAGTCTAAAGCTAGCAGAGAGTGAGTCGGAATGATACGTCTGTTGTTTTTTGTTCGTTGTCTGAATCCTCTTTTGGAGAGGGCGCATCCCCTTTTATAGATAAATGGGATGGCCTTACAAGTGAGAGAGAGTGTGTGTGTGTGCTAGCTAGTCTTGTTGCCCACACCGTCGGGTGCAAGACGGTTTGTCAACACCCACAATATTGTTGATGGCTAGATGCATGTGCTGGGTTCCACCGTTTTCTTCTGGTATGGCAAATGTCGGCGCCTACCATACTGTAGGACAAATGTCGGCGTCCACAACACTGTTCGTTGTTTTGACATGTCTGGAAGGTTATAAAGTACCATTCTGACATGACCTGACAGTACTGTCCTGCAGGTGTGCAGGGTACGGTCCTCGGCATTACGGTTGACTTGAGCGCCTTGTGTTACTTGCTCCGCCTGATTCTTCGGGTCCTTACCGAGCGGGCGTCCCCGTTCGGTTGTTTCCCAGTCGGCTCTGACCGCACCGGTCGGAGAAGAGCTGTAAGCAGAGATTCGGTGTACTCCCGGTCGGAGAGGCGGGTCGGAGTCGGAAGCGAGCGTCGTCCCCTCCTTGGTCAGGCCTTCCGGTCGGAGAGGTGGGTCGGAGTCGGAAGCGAGCGTCGTCCCCTCCTTGGCCAGGCCTTCCGGTTGGAGACTGGATCGCTCTTCCAGACTCTTCCTTCGCAACGTCGTCTGCTGAGCCGAGCTTTTGTTTGGGAAGCAGGTCCATTAGGGACCCCGAATTTATGAACCCGACAATTGTACTTTGTTCTTTTTTTCCTCTTTACTAAATAATGCTAGTTATCTCAAGATTTAGCGATAAAAATCTCTTAAAGATGCGCATAAAATGGGGTTTGTGCGTGTGCATTAGGGACAAGTGTGTATCGATGTATGTGGTTCTCAATGTTTGTATTGTGTTTTGGGGGAAAAAGGAAAAGAAAATTTGGACAGCATCTCGATACATTATTACATTTTATTTGAAGCCCCAATGACACTTGAACCTAGGCTTCTGGCTCAGCTTCAACTACCGGAAGTCCAAAAATGTCCAAAAATGTAAGGGGCTGTCTGGATCATTTTATTTGGAGAAATTGAAATTTAGTAAATAAATTATGTTATTTGGCTTAGAATTTGACATTCCACCACTTTTCAAAGTTCATATGTAAGCATATCTCAAATTCATAGGATGAGAGATGAAGATTGATTCTATAAATCACAAGTCTATGTTTCTACTTTGCAACTTATAACACGCTGTTTAACTCACTCATCTACGGTAGAAATGTAATTCATAAGTATTTCTCTCGTATAGCCAACAATAATATACAAATATAATCGATATATAACTATATTAGCTTAATTAATATGGGTCTAAATTATGATTATTAAAATAAATTCAATTCCAATGATACAAACGGTTATTCTTTATGGGGCCACTCTCGGTGTCACAATATATTCCGTTACCGTTTGCAACCAAACACAATCGAAGTATGAATACTAGGTGGGCAGGCGCGCTTCGCTGCGCCCGTAGTGACTCCCAAGTCTGGGCTTCAGAAACAGTAATGCATTCAGTGGAACGAAGTACGTACTCCGTAGATGGCAAGCGTTCACACCTTTATTAATTTGCATAGGTATAATAATGAAATGAAGCGGCGCTCACTCAGCTGTACATTAGTTAGATAAGGCATTGCCACACAAATGTATTATTGTAGAGGAATAGAGCATAGTTGTAAAGATCATGGTAAGAGAGAGGTCTTATGTCGATGACATTATGTTCATTTCACTTTGACATAGAAAAAATCAATATTATTGGTAGAGAAAATTACAACTGCGACACATTGTGTGGATTAAAGGAAAACATAAGCCGAATGACGCTGGCACTGACACCTTGACTCGTAAGTAGTGCAGCAAGAATCGAACAGCAGGTACTGCATCATTTGTATTGAGTGTTCTCCATCATCTGTAATCTTCGTTTTTCCAGCTGCATAGTAATTAATCCACACTTCATATCAGGACATTATTACAGCTAATCAATCATTTCTTGGACAACAAAAGTTTGGTATGTGCTGCTTAAGCTTGTTACTTTGTTAGCAATAATTGCAACATCCGTCGATAGGGAGAAAGTAAAAATCATCTTTATATTGGAGACATAAAGTTCAGGTGTCACATGAAAAGCTGATCTATCATCTATGGAACATATGGGCCTGTAACCTGATTTCAATGAACTTAAGTGAAGCTACACCAATACGGCAAATTTGTTAACCAAAACAAATTTACAGACCTTTACTGTCACATGGAAAAAAAGGCGCAAATACCATAGACAGATTGTACATACCAATTGACTATGTTTGTCAAAATCCTAGAGTTGATAAATGACGTATTTGTGACTATTGCTGTTCCAAACAATTTGATGGTACATTAGCTATGTTTGTCAAAATCCTAGAGGGTTTTCCTTCAAATAACAAAAGATCACAATTTGTAGGATTAGTTTTTTTTGGAAACAATAGGATTCGCTAGTCAATAACATGAATACTCACTCGTCTCGTGGCAAGGAAACTAATTTGTTTTCTGCCTGAGAATCAGAGACTATGCATATGGCTATCTGGTACGGTCAACTGCAGTGAGATGTAAAATGCAAAAAAGAAGAAATGAAACGGAAAAATAAGATGTAAAATAATGAAAAGCACTAAGCAGCCTCCCGTTTACCCAAGAAACCAAGGACAAGAAGCAAGTATACCTAGATGATTCATATGTTTACTTCTTAGTTGTACGATTCATTCTTAACTTGGTTTCACAAAATGTTATAGAAGAATTAGCACCACAAACAGATAACAAAAAAACAGTTAGCCTCCGTTGGAGTACCTTGGAACATGCAAACTGCATTCTTCTGTAGACAAAGGAAATTTGACACATCGTTGCAACTTATAAGGACAGCTAGAGAGCAAGCAACGACATATGGACCAGATCTTTGTTAATATATCGATCAGTGCATGAAGCAGGTGAATCACAAGACATCAATTTGAACCCCTCCTGCAAGCCCCAGATTTCCATAATTCTCAGTGGGCTTCGAGTTTAGAAATCCCAATGTATTGTTACGTGTAACATGCGATTGACAATTTGGAGCTCCTATTACATATATGAGATATCCATTAAGAAACATAGCTCCAAGAAGACATGGATTTTCTCTGTTCATGGATAATGTAAAAAAAGCTCGTGGAACAATTTTGAAATCAGGAAATAAATATGTAGAGAGGGGACATGATGTACATGTACCTGGTTTGGGGATGTTCGATTGAGCGCATAGTCAGGAATGACATGGCCACATGAAAAAAAAAATCCAAATAGCCTTTCTAATTTCAGTAAGTTCAGTATAATTTTATAAATCTACAACAGGGACAAAGGGGATATGCTGGCAATTTTCACAGCTTCCTCATGTCATGAACCCTTTAATTTGAAGTCACTATTCAGATTCAAAGGGGATATGCTGGCAATTTTCACAGATTCCTCAATCTTGGTGCAGGATATATGGGTAGCCTGTTTGAAAATAGAGATCTTTAGTTTCATATTAAACCTGCACTTCCAGATTTTGAAGCCACAACACAAGCGGCATGGGGGAAATTGGCTAAAGGGAGAGTGTGGCGACGTACCTGTCACTGCACCAGGCTGTGGATTCCTATTTGTCAAGCACATTAAATGAAACCCCTTAGATTAGCACAAAGCGATGACAACGCCTCATTCCAAATACATTGCATACTTGCATGTTAGTAGTGTGTATTCATGAGGAAGGCAATGGAGGAGCTGACAGTGCCAGATCAGCCGATACGTAGAGAAAAAAAAACTGAAGCAGATGTACACGTGCTTTCTTTTGAGATCACACATGCTGCCGACCATGTTCACAACAAAATAATGACGGGGGAGGAGAAGATTCTGTGATGAACTCACCAGATCTGGGCGGCGTGGATGGAGATGAAGATCAGTAGCATCTCAGGTCCACCACCATGTCGTCGTCGCACCGGTCGCTAGCAGGGGGCAACTGCGGCTGCGGATCGCTATGGAGCAGGTTGGGGAGGCTGATGGAGTGGAGCCTGAGGTCGACCAAGACGACGGCTACGGCTCTATGGTGGCCGCGGGGGCAGGAAGTAAGGACGCGATGACGGCGCAGATGGCGGAGGGAGGAGGCAGCGGCTGTGCGGAAGGCAAGCGCGAGGTGCCGCGGCAACCGCATTTCACGCCACCGCCACCGCCACCGCCACCGCCGTCGATGTCATCCTGGCGGCGGGGATTGATTGGAGGCGAGGAAACGGAGGAAGGGATCTGGCCCAGGAGGCCAGGACGAAACCTCCGAGGTCGAAACTCAGGCCCGGACACGCACGCGCATTGCAGCTGAGCACAGGAAGGGCGACCTCGTCAGATCCGTAAACCGTCCGCGCCGGTAGCACGGTACCGGGAGACCGGGAACAGAAACGCGGCATGGCCACGCGGCAGATGACGGCTGGGCGCCCCGTATGTGAACAGTAACCAAAGCCTTGAGAGAGCGCGGAATCTAGGAGCTTTATGGAGTTTCATATTTACATTACACAACCAATTTATGAATATATTTTTTTCGGGGAACAACAGTTTATAAATTCAATCTCTAACAACTCCAAACTAGTAAAGACAACCGCCTTGTCGTCGTGCGTCACATCTTCTTCTTCTTGCTTCTGTTACAAGCCGGGTTGGCCGCGAGGCTGTTGATCCACACCTGATCGGCGACGACCGGCTCGTCGTCGTCGTTGCGGTGCCACGTCCACAGCGCGTGCGTGGCGTTCACCACCTCGAGCCGGCCGTGCCCGAAGCTGGCCTCCCGGAACGCCGAGATCGTCGGCTGCGGGTCGATGTACTTGTCCGCCAGCCCCTCCCGGTTGCCGCCGTCACCGATGGTGACGTACACGGGCGAGCACGGATCCTCCTTGCCGGCGTAGACGCGCTTGAACCTCTCGTACGCGTGGACGTGGCCCGCGAACACGGCGTCGACGCGCGCGCCGTACAGCAGCGCCTCCATGGCGTCCCGCATGGCGTCGCCCTCCCCCTGGTGCGCCTCGTTGCTGTTGTACCACGGCACGTGCACCAGCGCGAGCACGAACGCCGGCCTGCCACTCCTGCGGTCGAGCGCCGCGAGGTCGGCGCGGAGCCAGCGGAGCTGCGCGCTGCCGGCGCCGTAGTCGGTGTAGGAGCCGAGCATGAGGACGTGCACGGCGCCGCCGGCGACGTCGAAGGAGTAGTAGAGGTTGTCGCCCGACGGCGGCGCGGCGGCGGCGTAGTCGTACGGCATGCGCCACCGCGCGTTGTACGCCTTGAACGGCTTGGGCTCGATCAGCGGCAGCTTCTCGACCTCGTGGTTGCCCTGCGTCACCATCCACGGCCGCGCGCTGGCCAGCGGCTCCACGAGGCGGCCGTACGAGTCCCACCGCGACTGGACGAAGTCGGCGTAGGACAGGTCGCCCGGGAGCAGGAGCATGTCGTAGTCGGCGGCGGCGATGTGCTTCAGCGTGGAAGCCGTCCACCCCGTCTGACCGAGGTCACCTGCAACATATAGCGACGCCATTGCCGTGTCCATCAAATCACGCCATGATCGATCGAGCACTCGAGCCCAGCTGCGGCGGCACATGCACAAAATGTACAAGATTATGGGCATTTACCGATGATGACGAATTTGAAGGGAGGGTGGCCGGCGGCGTCCGGAAGGAGAGCTCCCGCGACGGGCTGGCGCTGCAGCGGTAGTAGTAGGTGGTGCTGGGCTGGAGCGGGCCGATGACGGCGTCGTGGATGTTGCCGGAGTGGTAGAGCACGTAGGAGTAGGTCGTCGTGTTTCCGGTCGCGGAGAAGGGGTATTGGCCGGACGACGTGCCGTAGTCGACCGTCGCCGGCGCGTCGTCGTCGGTGATCCATGATACCCGCACCTTGTCAGGCCCTACCATTGATATGTGCACCTGGAGTTTCCAAGAAAAAGTGTTCAAATTCTTTGCGTTTTGCAATGACTGACGGGGAAAACGTAGGAAAGAAACAGGTGTGACTCATGATTGTGACGACCGCAGCAGAGCATTAGCCCTGATGGTCGATCGATGCATTGCCCTATCACTATCAGTAACACTAACCTAAAGCTGATTGTCATGCGTCGCCCATGATTAGTCACAATCACAAGAAACAGCAAGGCAGATAAGCGGAACCCAACCGGCACGACGTGCGTCGTCAGGGACGATACGCTACGATGACACGGGGGCGCGGCGCGGGGGATGAATGGGAAAGCAAGAAACCCGGAAGAATCCGAAAGGAGCTTCTTGTCTCTCGTCTTCTCTTCTCCCCTGTCTCTGTCAGTGGTGCGGTCACTGTCTCACTCAACCCCCGGGCCGTTCTTGATGCTAACTACTAAACAGACGCAAATAATCAGGTCAAGCTCTTTCCCAGCCCCAGCTGTGTGAACACGTACATATTTATTCAGCTATATTTGTTCCTGCTCCCTAGGAATCCAACCAAGAAACCTAATGTAAAAAAAAAAAATCCAACCAAAAATGTCGTGACAGGCACCACAATTCCTTCCTACCTTCAACTTCCCTCGTACAAGTATTATACTACTGGACGTACATACTCTATAAGCCACGCTGTATCACATGACGAAGACGAAGGACGCTCGTGGGGCCACGCAGGAATGCAGGATGCTTTCTTTCTGGTCGGAGTTTGACTCACTGAATGCGGTCGCAAACAGACAATCCCTTGTGTGCTAATCCTAATCGATCCGGTGTTGTCTAGCTAATCGATCGAGTTGGACAGCAAAAAGAAACCACCCCATCGACAACGTACATTGTCACTATATGCAAGTAAGTAATTGCACTCGCACGGCGGATCATCAGTATTCAGTAGCACAAATGGATCGGAGCAAACTTGCTGCAACAACTGAAGCGAGATCGCTGCACGAACGCAGGTTCAGTAGTGCCCAATGACATGGCAGCATTCAGCATTCAGAATTCAGAACCTGGTGGTGGTCAGGTTTTTCGGCTTTCCGCTAGCTCGGCGAAACACAGGCGGCCAGGGCACTGGAACCGCCGATGCCGAAGCACATCTTGCTTGAGAGCAGAGCGACACAGAGGAAGGCGTACCTGCTGCGGCGTCTGACCGTCGGCGTCGTCGTCCCGGGGCAGCGACAGCGTGGCCCTGGGCGGCGGCCGAACGTACGGCGACGTCACGGCGACGGACGCGGGCAGCGCGGAGGAGGCCAGGACGAGGAGCGCCAGCGCCGCCATGCTCCTGCTTCTTGCCATGGCGGCCACTGGCACAGCAACTTGTTGCTCTCGGTGTTTCCTGAATCTAAGACGGCTTTGGAGCATGCAAGCGGAAATGGAAAGTGGAGGGGAATGGCTGGCCGGCATTTATAAGAACAGCACACGGCGTCATCCAGCATCCAGCTGCCAGCTGCCTGGATGGATGTATATGATCACAAATCAATGAGGTACGACGAGTGAACGGACAACTATTTCGTCCGGCGTGTCAGGCACGAATCTGTCGTTCGCATATGCCGTTTTTTTTGTCAACCATACTAGTAGGTGACTTGTTTGTTTTGCTAATTAATGTTTTGGGCGTCTGAACAAGAAACAGGGAGAGGAGGCAGAGAAGCTTTTGTTGACTGCTTGAGTGCAGCAAGAGGGAACTGCCAAACTGGGGCTGAGGGAGGGCCGTGTTTCTTCTCGGTGGGCGGCGGTTTTTGTTCCAGCCCACTAGAACAACGCCACTGATGTCAGTCACGTGTGGGTGGCTCGGCCTCGGCTGGCGGGAGATGGACCAGCCACATCAGCTTGACCAGGTAGTATATACGTACTACCACTACTAGGTACGTGTCCACCTTTGACGAAACCTAGTCCACATTGGCATACGTTTTTGACCTTGTTCTGCAGGACTTATTACTGTTACGGCTGATTTATAGAGCTAATTTGTTGTGAGAAAAAAATATTATTCTCATTACTGAAAAGTAAAGCTAATTCTGACCGATAAGCACGAGCCAACAGCACCAAATTGCCTCGTTCGAAGAATGTCCGTGAAGGGCATTGAATGGCTGTTTATCTATGGCTAAGTCCCATGTATTTTTTTAGACCATGGGATGAAGGCACAACTAACGGCCTCCTTCTACGCTAATATTAGTTGTTACTGTTAACTAGTTCGGTCCAACCGGTGAAATAGTTATTAGTGACATCTGTTTTTACCAACTAGAAGAAGCTTAGTGAGTAATTGTTAGCTTTATAGTCTAAATAGGGCCTTAGTTTTTTTTTGTGTGTGTGAATGGAGATTATTGTTTCTGCCGACAAGAAGGTCAGTGACGTCTGTCACGTGTCACCGCTGGCGGGAGATCGGCCAGCAACAATTGCTTGACCAGGTACGAGGCACACGTGGCCAGTGTCCACGTCAAAACCTAGCCCACTTTGGCCTCACCATGCAATTGCCTCCCTTCGAGAACATCTGAGCATGGTCTTGTTTAGATGCAGTTAGATTCGTATTGATCCATATATGTTGAGATGGATTGGAGTGAAAGTTGAACTAAATTTTATCCAAATCCAACCCAACGCATATGAATTAAGGTGAATTCGATAACATACAAACAAAGCCTAAATGATTTTTTTGTTAGCGCTATTGCTAAGTTTTTTTTACTACAGGTCTTTTTGGCCGACATCCACCTATTAGCTACGTAATGCAGTATTTTTATAGTAATAACTATATATATCAATATCAATCAATCAATCTACTCCTTGGTCTATAAAGAGTCATTCTCGCTTCTCAAAAAGTCAACAACTTTTAACTTTGACCAAATATATTTAAAAAATATTAATATTTATGATACAATCAATCAATCTACTCCATCTGTCCCTAAAAAGAGTCATTCTCGCTTTCAAAAAGTCAACAACTTTTAACTTTGACAAAATATATTTAATAAAATATTAATATTTATGGTACATAATTAATATTATTATATAGATCGTTGAATATACTTTCGTAATAAACTTATTTGGAGATATAAATGTTGCATGTATTTTCTACGAACCTAGTTAAAGTTAAGAAAGTTTGACCAACACAATTTCAGTAGCAACTCTTTTTTAGGGACGGAGAGAGTAGCCCGAACGTCAACGACATATTAGCTGGATGATTATTCTTGACATTTATCACTTCCGTTCATCAATCGACAACACGGCGGATGCATGGCCACGATTTGGTTGTTTGGCTCGCTGTGAATTGGACGCCAACACTTTCCCATTCTGATCTGCATTTGCTGCACGACAGCAGGGAATTATCCATGTGCCAAACTATAGTTAACTTCCATTTTCGGCTAAATTCTTAAGTGTTATCTTGTCGTACGTAGCAGACACATGCAACAAGAGATTTTCGAAAGCTAGCAGGCTAGCTAGGTGGTACCAGAAGATCTCATCGCGAAAATGGAAAATCTTTTGGCATCCGACGTCATCTCGATCTGTTCAAGCGGCACAGCTTGCGTCTTCATGCCAGGGGATGAAAGTTTTCTATTTTCCACGTCAACTTCTTTAGATAAAGGAAAATTTTATCTCGGTATATAACTTAACCACAGCATTCTAGAGAAAAGATAATAATTAAGAAGATGCCAACAAACAGCACAAGTTTCTTGCCACATACAACAAACGAAAATTTGCCACTAGGATTGAAGTCTAGAGCAACTCCAAGAACCACTCTATATTCTTTCTTATTGGTAGGAATAGAGATTTTAGTGAAAAATACTCTTCAACAACCTTTTTTAATTAGATCTCATGATATTGACATTCTCTATTTTAGATTTTTCGCTAGCCAAAGATGGAGAGCAAAATTTGCACTCTAGAGTATGCACAAGATATAGAAAAGCTATTGAAAGGTGAAAAGATATAGAGAACGATTTTTATTGAAATGATTCTCTAAATGATGATTTAGAGAGTGGGTTTAAAAAAAAGACTCTTGGAGATACTCAATAATAGTACCTTCATCCTATAAAATATGCAATTCTAGATTGGATCCAAGTCAAAGTAACTTATGTTTGAAGTCCTGAATTTATGAAAACAATATCAATATTTTAAGATTATAAATAGGTATATTAAAAAATATATCATAAAATCTATTACAAGGATTTGTTATATTTTTATATAGACTTAGTTAAGATTAAGATTATTTTTTACACAAATAAAATCAAGATAGTTTGGCTGAGTGATAGATATCCAACCATGAAGATGCAAAAGGGCATAGGGCTTGGTATGGCGGCTATCACGAGTACCCTTCTCTTTTTATCTTTTCTGCTGCTGGTTGCCATTAAAAAAACTTGTTTGAGCTGACAGCCAACTGCCGGGAGACAGAGGCAAAGAAAGGAACAAGGGCAGCATTGGGCCGAGCTCGTTCGGCTGGTAGTTAGCACAGTGAATTTTGGATTATTTCGGATGATTTAATAGTGTTCTGTGAGAGAATAAGCTGAAACAAGCTAAAAGTAGTACAACCGAACGCAGAATGTGGCAATTGGGTTGTAGAACTCGGTTTTAAGAATAAAACCAGATACATAATATATATGAGCCTAGAAAGTCAAATATCATATATAGCTATAAGTAAAGGTAATATTAATAGACAATGCTCAATATATAACGTACTTAGTATAAAGAATATAATATTAGATAGCAAACAGCGGAAAGACAACTCCGATCTTCGGGTGAAGACTCCAATTTCACAGGGACAACTGATTGGTTGATCGCAAGTCTAATTCCTCCAAACTCTAGCAATCTGGTACTTATCCGGGATTTTTATCCAAATATTTGAAAAATAAAGCAAGCATAAATACATGTCGTACTCAACAAATATAACAGGGGTTCATGAGGCTCAAAATGCTAACACTGGTTTAACTGCGATTATCTTTTAATGAGTCACAATTTTAACAATTGGGTGCCATCAAGTTTATTCACAAGCCTATAAACACATGATCAGGTAAACATTAATAATGAATAGCATAAACAATAATTATATTGAGTATCTTTATCATCAGTATCATCAGTGTTCATCATCTATTCCGTAAGGGTTCCAAGGCCATTCGTGATAGTGAACACGGCTGATATACTAGTTTTACACTCTACAGAGGTTGTACACTTTCACTATGAGTCATGATTTACTCTTTCGCCCAAGGCGACCAACCTCTTGACCCACTACTAAGGAAGGTCAACAGGGTTTACTATAAAGCTTTTCAAAGGTTTGTCTAATAAGTTAGGGCCGCTAAGATTTCTCCATCAATAAGCATTAACTCCCCTCCAAGGAGTGACTGACAAAAGACCAAGAAACCAAAATGCACTCAACCTAGCAGGCAAAAGTCATACCTGTCGGAGACCCTCTTGCGCCATAAAGGTAACCACTAACAAGCTAGAAAAGTTCCTTATACTAAGCTAAAGCCAGAGCCATGTAGCCCTCACAGCTGTACTGTAAGTCCCGGATGATCACTTATAGATAAGTCCTTAGGGAGAGGAATCTAGAGCACCATAAAATAGCCCAATGCTCTAGCCCTTTGTTCTATGTTGCTAAAAAGCATCTTTTAACGTTTATTGCATATTCCATTAGTCAAGTTACAAGCTCATGGCTTTAGTTTGAACACTAGCATCATACTACCCAATGCATATCCCATAGGAGACAATGTATAAGTTTAATTCTAGGGAATCCCTATCAAGATGACACATGTAATATGAATTAAATGTATTAAAGTTGATAGAAAATAAGGATGATCTCATGCTATACTTGCCTTAAACTCAGATCCTTCTTCTATTGAATTGTAACCTCTAAAGGACCTCTTCTGGATTACTAACTTCTTTTATATCACCAACGCAAAGCTCACCGACTGGATATGATCATAAAGCACCACACAAGCATCCATGCAATCATACACGGAGCAAACAATAGAACTAAATCAGAACAATACACCAAACATAATAATACAGCAAGTAAAAAGGTTTTAAAAATGTTCTACACGTTACTACGAACACACGGACGCAAAAAGCACTCTAATCGGAGCTAAAACAAAGAAATTATGAATTAAACAAGATTTCCTTTAATAAAATAATAGATTAAATCTAACCTTGAATTTCAAAAGTTAAAAGCATGTTTAATAATAGGATGAACATGTAGATTACGCAATTACGAATCTAACGCAACTTGAACGGGTCAAATCGGAGTTAAAACGGAGAAGTTATGGCCTAAAAAAAACTAGTGGCAAAACTGTAAATAGATAAAAACGTATTTTGAATCTACTAGA